TCGGCGCCCTCTTGCAGATGGCCTTGGTGGCGACTGTGGCGAACTTCCTGGGCTCCCTTGTGCCAGCCTCGAAGGTAAAGGATGAGGCCGAAGATGCAGTCCAGGCCCTTCCGGGCATGACCCCGAAGAACGTGGAGCCCTACCCGCGACCTGGCATCCCATACAAGCGAAGATGGCTTCCCGTGTATGCGGTCATCATGCTTGCGGCGCTGATTTTCTTAAAGCTTGGCCACCAGTCTCGATTGGTTGAGTCCGCCTTCATCATGAGCGCAACCCTCCTTGCCTTCGTCGTAGGCAACTGCGCAGGGCCGACCTTCAAGACGCTGATGCCGCCTGTGTTTGTCGGTGTGTTCGGTGGCTGGCTCGCCATTGCTCTGTGGGCCCGGGAGGACGATGTGGAATCATTCCATGATGTCCTGGTGCGCTACTCGAATCCGGGAGGGGGCGGCCCTGTGCTCTCCAGGCTGTTGAACCCCCTGGTGATCTCCCTGGGCTTGGTGCTCTTCGAACGTCGTCACTTGCTGCAGCGAGACAGCACTGTCATCGTCGGAACGGCCGGAATTGCAGCAGTGACCGGCCTCTTTGGTTCAGTTCTCCTTGCACGAGTTCTGGCCTTGCCGAAGGGCCTTGCTCACTCGACGACGCCCCGTTTCTGCCAGGCTGCACTGGCTCTGACGGTGGCAGGCTCCCTGAAGGCATCGCCGCCTCTCGCGGCTGCCATAGTGGTGTCGTCTTGCTCCATTGGAGTCGTCATTTCCAAGCCTTTGATGAGCTGGTTGAAGATGGAGGGCTCACGAGAGCGTGGACTTTCGGTTGGAGGAGTGGCCCACGTGCTTGGCACCGTGTCCCTAGCGTCCTGGGACAAGGACGCCGTGCCCTATGCTGCTGTGTGCTCGGTCTTGGCCAGCGGCTTCACCACTGCCTTGGTGGTTATCCCTTCCGTGGAGTCGGCTCTACTGTGGCTTCTGCCATGAGCAGGCCACGAAGACAGTCGTGCCACATCCCCGGGACAGTTCAAAACGCAAAGCTTGTGAACAGTTTTGGCTACTGCTCTGAAATTTGCGGTGTCGCCAGGCGTGCCGAAGTTTTCCCATCAGAGGTGGCCCGTGTGAAGGCACAGGCTTACTCGAGACGCGCCGCGCGAGCATGATGTGCGAAAGAGCTTGCGTATCTTGTCATGATGCCACTCAGCCAGGGCCCGCACTGTGCATGGGACATGTTGTCCATGAAGCATAGCGCCGTAGAGTCGTCCTACAGGGCGGCCCATTACATCCCCCTTCTCAGCCAGGCTCGAAGCGCCGTGCTTTGCTTCCAATGCGGGCGACTGCGCTCTGATGGTCATGCTGGCGAGGCTCAGAGGGATATTTTAACGGAACATTTCAGTCACATTCGCATGGAGCTATAATAGTACCTATAGCTGGCTGTAGAAATGGGGCGCTCCGTTATGTTTGTTTTCGCTGCTGACATTTGACATGCTTAGACGAGGCCGCTTTCGGTTCAAGCCATACTCTCGATGAAATTTACGACTCATTACGACTGTGCTTTTACCTATCTGTGTCGGACTGAAAGGCGTGCGGAGGATCGAAAGCATTGTGGCCTGCGATGGTTTTGATTGGGTGTGTATCGGCACGGAGATGGGATACACCGTAAGATTTGTTGAGAACCCCGCAGAAATAGGTGCCTCGCAGTATTCTGTGTGGAACCCTGTCGCAGAAATCGGAAATCCGCGCTTCAACCAGCAGCAGCCACATAATTTAGCTAGCGCTGTTTTAGAACCCTGGGCTTGTCATGCCCTGGACCTTGCTACATGTCCCTTTCCTCGCAACATGGAACGCAACAGACCGGACACCTGCAGCTTAACATTATGAATGCATTCTGACGTGTCTGTGCTTTGGTCACAAGCTGCATTTTTTAAGCATGGAGTCTTTACGCTCCCAACCGATGCTTTGCCGTTTGAGAGGCTGGCTCGAAGATGGCTGGCCGGTATCTTTGCGAGGATCCTGTGCAGTTGCATCTTGAAGTTGATACATAGTCGTTTGTGGCTTCGAATGCTCATTTTCCTGTCCGACTTGAAGAGAGCTTCGTGTTTTGTTGCTCGGACCCAGCGCGAAAGCCCGGATGTGGTTTGGACAGGAGTGCTGGAGCTGCTTTCGAAAGATCCGTCGCTGTCAGCAGCTTGAACTTGATCGACGTGTGGAGAAGGCGAGACGTCGACCATGCAGTCATCGGGCCTATTCGAAGATTGTGGACTTCAGCTCTGTCGCATAGTGGCTCGATGAAGGTCTCGGTAGTAAACCCGTTTGACCCCGTTTGACTAGACTTGACGCGAGGTTGAATTGATTTGAATTGGGCCGAGGGGAACTGCAGATTTGCTCGCATTCGTGCGGAAGAAGTGCACAGAGTCTGGACGGCTGACCTGGACAGGCTACTTACTCCGACTACAGCACAGCTACCGATGAGCTGCCCTCTCTGGAGGTGCGCTTTGTCGGGCTCACTTACGACAGGGCAGCATGGACGTCTCCATACTGCGATGTGCGACTGTAGAGGACTAGGTGAGAGACACATGCTGTATAAATGCATACGGCATGTTGCGCCTGATGCGTCCAGCCAGGTTTAGATAGCATCCAGCAAAATGGAACAGAGAGTGCCCGGTGTGAAGTGACAGGATGTGCCCCAGGACTGGGACCGTCGGCATCCCATGCTGCTTGGCTTGTCGCAGAGACGGGCTCGAGTAGGCTTAAGGTGCAGTACAAGCAGCATAAGCTCCAAGCCGAAGGGTCGAGATGGGATGAACACTAGTCGCCTGTCTCATGTCTTGAATCCTTGACGTGTCTGGTCGGGAGCCCTATGACATGCAACAAGGTCTCTTTCAGCCCCTATGATTTCTTACAGCAGAGTACCAGCATTCAAGGACCAAGAGATTCATTGGGACGGTTGTTCAGAAGGCCCCCTTGTTGACTTTCAGTCTGTCGCCTTGACGTCGCTTTCCAGTCTCACGATGATGGTTATGAAAAATTATGATCGCATGTTATTGTTATTGGTTCCGTTTCATTCAAAATTCTTAAAAATTATTTCGAGAGTCGCGGATGCCGAGATCTTGGATCCCACTAGATTAAAACGAGTTCAATATTGAACACCAATCGAACAACCTTGACAACTTCGGGACAAAGCTTGACACGAGATGTAGAACAACGAACCCCTTGAGATTAGGTGGCAGCGCTCGAATGAGACGAATCCGGACTGGCAGCTTCTGCGCCCCAGGAAAGCGCTTTGGCCATGGTCAGTTGGGATGTGACGCAAAGCACAGGGTTTCGAGGAGGCCAAGACTTAGTCGAATCGCCTTTTGTTTTTGTGAAGCCTTCTTGGACACTATAGCCCGTAAGTCGACGACAGCAGCAGGTTGAGCTGCAAATGCCTTTCTGGGAAAGTGATGGAAACATGTCCGACGGTTGTGACAGCAGGTGGCCTCGTTCTCGCGAACAGCCAGCATGCATGCCCTCAAAACCGTGACTCACCACAGCAAACGTAGTTCACACCATCATGCTGCGAAGGCTTTTAAACGAAGGAGCTACTGCAATGTCCATGCATTCCATCATGGCACTTTGCTGCCTGGGAGACACGCTATGCCTTTTCGGCAAAGGCGTGTTTTGTGCAAGTCCGCAGTGCAACCTGCATCAGTTGCAGAACATCCTCATCCTGGGACACCGTCGCATGTCCTCTTGGGCTGCTTTTGCCACCAAAGTGCAACAATGGGCCTGATTTGCAAGAGCTTGGTAGAGCTGAGACGCCTCAAAATTCTTCAAAAGTGGACGGGATACAGTACGTCTGGTTGCCAACCGTTTTAGGTCATGCCAAGCGCTTGTAGCTCCACACGGATCTCAGGTTGAGAAGGAGGTGCTGTTGCAGCTTAACTAGTATATGTGTGTGTGTGCATATTTACGCCACTGTGTGTATGCAAACATAACAAAGCAGTTCAGGTATGTATCAGACAGATAAGTACGTTAATGCAGACATATACAGCAGGTCATCATCCAGATGCCTAGGAAAGCGAGTCCGACATGTTGACAGTAGGCGCATCTTTTGTTGCTACTGTAGCACCCTAGGACCCAAAACCGGCCCACAACCTATGGGCATTTTCGGACGCGTAGCTTTCCAGCGTGGAGAATACCACTTGACCTGACTTCTCTTGAGGCTGCCACGCAGCCAGAAAGCCTCCTGACAGCAGTTGCTGCAGCTCAAGACATGCCCGCAGATCTTCGATAGTTGGACGGGCTGACTGGTGTGCTGTTGAGCAATGAATACCATGCTGCATGTTGAATGTGCTGACTTCATACACATGTCCACAGGTTTTGCAGTTGTTGATTGACTTCCGGCACGGCATGATCGTGGCACCGTGACGGACGAGTCTTTATGACAGTGGCTACATGGTTATGGAGGAGCACAGGGGACGATTCGGTTTGCGTGCCCGGTCCAGGTGGTCGGAAGGCGAGCCGCCAACCAAGGCAAGTCATCGCGACGACCCATGATGCACCACGACTCGCATGCTCTGTGCAAGCATCGGCCAGGCACCAAAGCTCTGACCGATTTGGTCTCTTTTCTGACTGCGGGGACGTCCTTTTGTATCATGCGCGCGGTGCTGCGGTAGCTGTATTGCTGCTTGCAATGGTTGGAGTTGCTCCAGTCATCACAGCAGGCAGTCTTGGGAGAGGCATATGACGACTTGTTTCTGGATGATGAAAAGACGGAGAAGCAGTGAGCATATGCCCAAGGCAGCCGTTCTATGATGCCATGCAATGATTGATGACGCTTACACTCCAGTGTTCGACTGCAAGGCAGTCGCCTGCGTGGCTGCTGGGCAGCACATGAGCAGGACAGTCGATGGAAGGCTCAGTAAGCAACCTGCACTACAGCCAGACTCTGAAGGAGCAGGGCAAAAAATTGCGTCGCAAGTCTTAGGCCTGGGAGGATTATTGACGTCCATGACCTCCGACTCATGTCAGGCGGTGGCACTCTATGGCGAGTACTCTGAACAACAGGCCGGAGCATTGATGAGTCGAATGCTGGTACATGTCAGGTCTTTCAGGACATTAAAGGCATTACCCATCCTTAAGAAAAGGGTGCACTCTGCATTTCAATTTGAGTGGGCTTTCTCTCCGAAGGCTAGGCGACATGACCCTGCGGTTCTGCCCAGTGCAAACTATCACATGTCAGACCGGTTGGGCCAGTTTCAACACATCAAAAAACGAAGTGTACTTTAAGAGCTGTACGGGTACGTGTTTTCGAGGGCCAACCATGTTTTGGGGTCGAACAGTACCGTGTTCTGTTTTCATTTGAAGCCTTGTTGTGGCTTATGGTTCGATGCTGCAGAGCAAGGAGCAACTACTCGTAGCATTGTCCAAGTTGTGCCATGTGGAATGATCACCGGCACAAGCGCAGGACGATCTGTAACGCAGGGGCAGATGTCAAACCGAAGGCTCCATTTTGTTGGAACGAGCAGCACACGGCACTCGGGTTTCAAGCCGAGCCCAGGCCTTCTGTTTCCGCATTCCGGCTCCTGACCAGGGCGCCGACGGCATTTGCCATGCAGCTGCGGCAGGGGTCCCTGCTTGCTGACCAATGCTTTGGTGCTAAGGGTGAGGGTTTTGCAGACCATCCAAAATCCACAAGTTTACGAATTAATTACCGGCGTAAACCGTGCTCGAAGCCCAGCCCGAAACTTCAAGAATCCTACACGACGACACGATGGCGGTGTTTCTGAGGTCGGAGCTTGTGAGCGTTCCGCACAGTGGGTGCTGCACTCAACGCGCGTTGCCTTTGTGCACCCCCTCCGTCATTTCTTCACTCAGGGCGATGATGTGAACTGGGCCATGTCACATCGTACATCCTTTTGACAGCAGCAGCAACAACAGCGACAACAGCAGCAGCAACAGTAACGACAACAGCAGCAACAGCAACAAACAACAAACGCCAACCAAGAAACAACACGACGAACAACGAACAACACAAACACACAACCAGCAACAATCAACAACAGCAACAAAGAATACCAGCACCAACACCGGCTGCAGCAGCAACAACAACAGCAACAGCAGCAGCACCACGACAACCCCACCAACAACAGCATCAGCAACAGCAACAACAACAACAACAACCACGCCGACAACCATTTCAACTACAACTACGACCACGCCAGCCGCCCAACCACAACAGCACCACCACCACCAGCACCAGCACCAGCAACAACAACAACAACAACGACATCGAGGCAGCGGGCGCGCGTTTAAACATATTTTTAGCCAAAGCGCTGCAAACCTCGGTTTTTGTGAGGTATTCGTGAATCAGGCATGTTTTGCTATTTGGATGTTCCTGTGTTTTGAGGCTGTGTTTTGCGGATTTGCCGCAAAAAACGGTGGTGTTCATTGTTAGTATTGGCTGATTTGTGCTGGGCGTTCTTTTGGTTGGCTCGTAGTACTTTAACTTTTTGGGTTTCTATATGAACCATAGTAAGAAGCTACAAGTTTAGTTTTTAGGAGGGGTTCAGAAGTCAGCCAAGTGTGGGTTGAATTTTAAAGTTGTTGTTTTGTGTGTGTGTGTGTGTTCAACACATCGTAAAAAGAGTGTTTGTTACTGTCGCGGGTCCGTGTCATATAGAACATAGCAACAACAGCAGGATGCAGCAACATTCTCATTGCGGCTGGTTTCATCGCAGTTATTGTCATCGTCATCCTTCTCCTATTTCCCTCAGCAAGGTCATCATCAACATCATCAGTGTCCTGAGCAACATCTGTCTCATCAGAATCACCCTAAGGAGCAGCATTCAGATGGTTATGAGCATCATCATCATCCTCATGGGCTTGTCAGCCTACTTTGAACCCTAGAGAGACAGAGTGCAGAGCAAGAGGTACTGTTTGCACAGCTCGGAGCGACGTGGTAAGCACAAGCAAGACAGCAACATGCAGAGCGACATGATAAATTCAACAAGCAGTCACCGCAAAGAAGTATCCGAAATGACATGGAGAAAGTCTTTGCCATGGACGTTAACATCCCCCATCCGCCCTCCCTACACCCCCCACGAAAGCAAAATAACATAAGAAGAACAACATAAGCAAATCTCACAAGCCGCATCGCCATGGACATTAACATCCCCCCCACCATCCCCTCTCCCCACCCCCCGCACGACAGCAAAGAAGATAAGAAGAAACACCGAAGTGAATATCACAAGCCGCACCGCCATGGATGTAAACATCCCCCCCATCCCACCTTCCCACGCCCCAAGAAAGCAGAAGAAAATAAGAAGACAAACATCGACGAATATCACAAGCGGCATCGCCATGGACGTTAACATCCCCCCCATCCC